CTACTTCGAAGGCTGATCGCAGGAGCAATGCCGTAAACCTCCCCGGGAGCGTCAGAGGCTTGCATTGATCTGAACTCCAAGCCACTGCACTCCTCCCTGGTGTACACAGCTAGACTCCATCTCAAAAAAAAAAAAAGACAACACATTTCATATCTCTCTCTGCGCGCGCGCGCGCGTTTGCTTTGTTTTTATTGTTTATAATAAAAATTGTTTTTTGAGATGTATCGTTCTCTTTTCCCTGTAGGCTGGCAGTGCTGTATCTCAGCCTCTACTGCAATCCTTCTGCTCCCTGTTTTACTGCCATTTCTGACTCCTCAGCCTTCCGAGCTAGCTTGTGCTACAGCGCCTGCCACCGGTCACGCCGCCTAGTTTTGTATTTTTTTAGTAGAGCATCGCGGTTTCCACCGTGTTAGCCAGGATGCGTCTCGATCTCTGACACTCGTGACCTGCTGTCTCGGCCTCCCAAAGCTGGGATTACAGGCATTGAGCCACCGCGCGCGGCCACTCGATTTTTTGAGGACAGGGTCTCACTCTGTTTACCCTCAGCTGGAGTTCCATTGGCACCAGCTATTGGCGAATTCAAGCCTCCCTTCTCAAGTATCTCCCAACCATCACCTCTGGAGCTAGCTGGGACTACAGGTGCTTCACCAACATTTATCCAGCTAATTTGCTATTTTTAGAGAGTAGTCTTGTTATATGCCCAGGCCTGCTGATCCTGGCCTCAAGCTATCCACCTGCGTTGCTTCCCAACATGCTAGATTATGCTTTGAGCCACGTGCCCAGCCCTGATAAATTGATTTTTCTTAAATTAAATCAGCCTCATACTGAGTAAAGCCTCCATTTGCCGTCGATGACGTATGATACACTTTGGTTAATATGGTGTTGAATGGCTGATTTGCCTTTTCGCCAGCATTTTCACATCATGATCTATGAGGATATTGGTGCTATAATTTCTTTTCCTTCTATAATGATCTTTGTTAGGTTTGATATATGGATGTCTCTCTATATCTCTCGGAGGCGTAGGCTTGCCATGAGCCGCAGATTGCTGCCATCCCAGTCCAGCTGCTGGGCGACTATGTATCGAAGGACTGTGTCTCAAAAAGCAACTCAAGCAACAAAACAACACAAGCGAGACAACAACATAATCAAAAAAACCAAAAAAAATAGTGAGGAGCGTTCACTGAGTGCCGCCCAGCTGGTTCTCAAACTCTGCAAGCCTCAACAATCCTTCCCACCTTAGCCTCCAAAAGTGTTGGGGATTTACAGCTACCACTTGCGCTGCTGCCTGGCCTAATTTCTTACCTCAAATTCACACCCTGTATGTCCAGACTCTTAAGTGTGGCCACCACGGCTCTGCCTGTCTGACTCCTGTCTCCCTTTCTAGTCTGTCATCTCTCCATATCCCACACTCCTCGCCCCATTCATCCTTCATCCTTTCACCCAAATGAGAAACCTGGGTCATTTGTGACTCCTCCTCACTCCGAAGCTCCTGCCCTCCTACCCCTGATGCTCTCCTTATCTCCCAGTACCAGAGCCAACACAAACCCACGTCTTCCTACCCTTTGGCACTTGGTGCTAAGTGCTTTGCACATTCAATCTTCATACCTACCCTATGCCCAGTTGGCCTCAGCTCTTCTCTCACAGATGAGGAAACGTGTATGAGGTCACGCAGCTATTAAGAGCAGCACACGACCCAAAGGCAGGTCTGGCTGACTCCAGACTCTGGGATGCTACTCACTGCACTGTCTTAAATCTCTTTAGTCCTCCAGTGGGACCACTGCAACCATGTCCCCATCCAACCTGGATTTTCAATGACCCCAGAGTGAGCCTGCTACATTTCACTTGCCTCTGGTCACCCCCAAACTCCATGTGGCCTCTTGATCTGATGTCTACCTTCATTTTTCATCTCTTGGCATCCATCTTCCTGTTCCTCACCCTAAGCCAAAGCTACCCCCAGAGTACGGCAGGCTCTTCTGCACCCAATGCCTTTGCAAATGCTATTTCTCATACCTGGAAAGTCTTCTTCTGGCAAAGTCCTACTCATGCCTGAAAGCCCAATTCAAATAATCAGTGTAATCCTCTCCATGACAGACCTGGCTGTCCAATCTACGTTTTTCCTTACAGGCGTGAGCCATTGCACCCGACCTCTGGTTAATTTTTTTTTTTGACAGGGTCTTGCTCTGTGGCCCAGGCTGGAGTGGCGCCATCATAGCTCACTGCAACTCCTGGGCTCCAGTGAGCCTCCCAAGTAGCTGGGACTACAGGCTCATGCCACCACACCTGTCTAATTTTAAACATTTCCTGTAGAGGACAAAGTCTCGCTATGTTGCCTAGGCTGGTCTTGAACTCCTGGCCTTATGTGATCCTCTCACCTCTGCCTCCCAAAGTGTTGGGATTACAGGCGTTGAGCCATCATGCCCACCTAATTTTTGATCATTTTTAATGCTGGCCCATGCCCTTCTGGGAGAGAGGATCCCCAAAAGAAAGCCACCATTTCAGTGGGGGATCTGACGCTCCTATGGGAAGGGGAGACCCGGGGCACTAGGGGCAAACATCTTTGCTCATTGGTTCAGAGAAGAGTACAAGACACCAAGGAGGCGCTCAATGAAAATCTGCTCAAGACTGCCGCTCCTCCCTGCAAAGCCTCAAGCATCAAGCAGGGACAACTGGATGTGATTTTTTGGATCTGCAGTTCAGGATAATTCATGAGTCCTTTCCTGTGCACAAGGCCATTGCTCCTTCTGTGGTCTCAGAACCCCTTCAAGAACCACTGACGCTGCAGTCCCTACCACAAGGCGCGCATGCGTGTCCGTGCGCGCACGCGGATGTGCACCACGGAGGGGCTGAGGCTGGGAGCCATAGTCAGGGGCACCGGGTGGGCTTTGGCGGGGGATCGACCTGCCTTTCAGGTGCCGGGGGTTTGGGAGCAGGGGAACGGGCCCCGGGCCGATTCCTGACTGCCCCCTCCGCGCCCCGCCCCCACTCACTGTCGCTTTCCCCGCCCGCCCGCCCGAACACCCGCCCCCGGGCGCCCGCCCGCTCCCACCTGTCACCCCCATGCAGATCGGGGCTCTGTCCTGGAGGCGGGGAGCGGGCTGGTAGATGCTGCCTCTCAGCCTCCAGTGTGCTCTTTGGCTGGGAGACTGGGGGGCGCTGGAAATATTGGAGGCGCTGGTGCCTGTGATGTCGCCGCCTCTGTGACGTCCCTGCCGCGACCCCGCAGGCAGGGAGCCGCATTTAGGTTCCGGGCGGGCGGGCGGGCAGGCGGGGGACGGCCCGAGTGAGGTGTCCTCCGAAGGCTGCGGGCCCGAAGCCAGAACCCCTCTCCAAAGACCTCGGGAGTAGGGCTCGCGCTTCCGCTGCGGGCCCAGAGCAAGAGGCAGGCGGCAGGTAAGTTTGACTCTACTGGACCGGACTTGCACCCGCTCTGCACGCCAGGGGCTCAGGGCTGCCGCCCCTTTCGTGGTCCCAGGGCCCTTCCAAGAACCGGCTAAACCAACCCAAGCTGCGCGCACACACATTTGTGCACACAGGGAGTGTGGAGCCAGATTCGATAAGGCATCACGTGTGCCCCAGCTCCATGACCAAGGAACTCAGCCACAAGGGCATCCCTGGCCCCATGCAGGGCTCAGGAGGCAGCAGAAAGGGTTGAGTCCAGGCCTCAAGGACAGGAGGGGAAGGTGGAGGGCCTGTGGTGTGCATCCAGCATCCCTAGCTGGTCAGGGCCCAGAACCCACCCCTATTTCCCTTCTGGTGGTAGAGGGCTGCCTGACTTGGGCAGTGGCACAAAGCATGCAGGCTTTGTCGTCCGCCTCCTCCACCCTTCAGCCTGGCAGTGTTTGGCAAGGGACTTCCCTGATGCCACTGGGCAAGGCATCTTGCCTAACTGGTCTGAATGAATAGCCCAGAGGTGGGACTAGAAGCACCCACTGGGAGGAGTGGTGGGAAAGCAACCGCACTCAAGGGCTGAAACAGTCCTTGTCCAAAACCAGGGGGACTTGAAAAGATCTCACCAAGAAGGCAGAGAGGCAGTTGTTAGTGTCGTGAGGTTCAGCAAGCCGGCAGGCAAGAGAGAGGACACCAATGGCCTGGAAACATTTGTCATCACCCCAAACTTTATTGCTTACAAAGAGTTCTCTACAACCCACACTGCAGTACCAACGCTGCAGTTCTTTATGTGCTGGGGGCCGGGGCTGTCTCCCCGGGAGCAGTCTGGCTCGCTGTGGACAGCTGGACAAAGGCTGTCTTGGCAAGACGTGGGGATGAGCTTCTCCCAAGGAGTCTCAGCGTCCCCCACCCCAGGAGGCTGAGGCTAGCTGACACCCCCCTGACAATTCACAGCTGACTTAATGCTACATGAGTCCTGAGTAGCTCCCCTGGGAGAAGAGGCTAAGCTGGGGCAATGGGGAAGTGGTTGCTATTAGAGAAATCTGGAGGAGGTTTGAGGAGTCACATGCATGTAGACAGCTCAAGACTGTCCCTTCACCCCATCTCCTGGACTGCTATGCTCCTACAGAGTCACTGACCTGCCCTGCCAGAGGGCAGCCATGAAAGTGCTTTGAGGTCATCAGAGTGCAAAGTGCCGTCAGCAGTACCCTCCAGCCCGGGGCAGGGCAGGGTGAGTGTCCGTGTGAGCTGTGCTCTGGGGGGCCCGCACGCTGGACGCTGACAGTGGGGCTGGGGTGCTGGAGCGTCTCTGTCTGCTGCTTTCCTTAGTATCGATCATGTCCATCTACAGACCGTTCCTGTCAGGCACATCCTGCATCACCCTTCACCTTTACAGATGAGGGAAGAGTGCCAGTGAGTCTGGGGCAGTGCTGGGCCTGAAGGGGCTCAGGGTCTGCTGCGCTGGGGAAGAGTGATAGCCAGCAGCAAAGGGGCACGTGTCTGGGGACTGAGAACCACTTCACTTACACACCTTCTTTGGTCGTTGGCTGAACCAGAAGTCAACTCAGGACCTGTGTTACAACAATCTGAAAAGCGTGGTGTATTCTACCAGGGAGCCTTCTGGGATCAGGCATTCCTTTCCCCTACACCCGAAAGGGATGAGCTGGCCAGGTGAGGCCGGGCAAGGGGGTCAGAGGCCTCCCGTTAACCTACGGGTGGGCATACCTGCTGACCTGGTTCTGCACTGAGCCTGAGTGTGGGCCCTTACACACTCGATACCCTCACACCAGCCTGGAGGGTGAGGGGCCGAGGGGCTCGCCCATCCCTTCTGACCCAGGCTGGAAGCTGCTCTCTCCTGTCTGCCAGCAAATGGTCACTGATCCAAGCGGGCCAGGCCAACTCGACTGGAGCAGGGCAGAGAAGATCCTGTTTGTTTCCCGAGGGAACTCCTGCCGTCCTCCTCTGTCTCCTCACGTGGCAGAGTGTTTTCTCAGCAGGGTGGGGCAGGACTCAGGTGGGAAATCCTGGGAGGCGTTCTGCTTGCCCCCACCTTGCTGCTGCCAGGCCCTGGTCCCACTGCTGAGCCGGGGGCTGGCAGATCCCTGGGAGCGGCTGAGCCTGTGTTTCAGGGCAGCGTTGTGCGCCGAGCAGGAAGGCTGCTTCCGGCAGCGTGGAGCCGGCAGTGGAGGGTGGGGTTAGGGCCTGTTCTCCAGCTGGCCATGCTTGACCCTCCAGCTCCAGGCGAAGCTGCCATCAGGGGCCAGCGTGCACTGCAGGTCGATGCCCGAGTCTGGCACCTCCATGTCATAGCGAACAGGCTGCCCATCTTTGGTCACCAAGCTGAAGGCTGCGGCTGGGATCTAAGGGTGGAGCAAACCAGTGGGCTGAGATCATGGCATGGGGCTCAGAAGCCATGTAGAAAGGTAAAGACATCTCCCTCCAGCCAGACTGGCAGCCCTAAGGGCACTGTGTGTGTGTCATTCCACAGGACTCAGAGAATCCCACCCAGCCCAAGTGTGGGTCTGGAGGACCTCTCCGTCCCCACTGCCAGTCTTACTTTGAGGCCCTGGGGGACGTCAAAGGCCAATTCCACGTATTCCCTAGAGTGCCATTCTACTTCTTTGAAAGCCTTCCTCCTGGAGGGTGGGGCCAGGTGCACTGGCTTCTGGGACTCTGCTGGTCAAGATAGTACCTGCGCCCCTTACCTGGCTGCTGATGCCAGTGGCGATGTCTCCCACTTTGACCCGGTGGAACTCCCGGATGTGCAGGTGTTCACCATTGAGAGACTGTATTTGGACTTTCACACCTAGAAGGCGGGCAAGGTGACAGTCAGGAGAGCGGCTGCTGGCTCTCCAAGGACCAGGGTCCTGGCAGGGGCTGAGAGAATGTTTTTGTTAAAAGTCACTCTGCCCTTAATGTAGAGGGGAGCAGGTCTGGTGTGATGAAGCAGCAGAGATAAAATTTAGGCTGGTCTAAGCACAGCTGCATTTTTGTTTGTTTTTGAGACAGAGTCTTACTGTGTCGCCCTGGCTGTAGTGCAATGGAGCAATCTCAGCTCACTGCAACCTCTATCTCCCGGGTTCAAGTGATTCTCCTGCCTCAGCCTCTCGAGTAGCTGGGATTACAGGCATGTGCCACTACACCCAGCTAATTTTTATATTTTTAGTAAAGATGGGGTTACACCATGTTGGTCAGGCTGGTCTCGAATTCCTGACCTCATGTAATCCACCTGCCTTGGCCTCCCTAAGTGCTGGGATTACAGGCGTGAGCCACCACACCCAGTCACAAAGTTGCATTTTATAAGAAAAATAAAAAATTCAGGCTGAAACAGCCCTCATGTTATATACACCTGCTAGTTCTTCCTGGCCACCAGCACCTGGGATCTGGCCTGTGCGTTGCTGAGAGCTGGGGTTGGCTCCTATGGGGAAGTAGTATTTCAACTTGGATGCAAAGCAGAAAGGAACTGAACACAAAGATCCTTAAATTAGATTATGGGCAATTTAGATTGTTCCCCGAGTTGAAGTGGCCTCTGGCCTGCTGCCATGAGTCACACTTGCCCTGGAGAGCAGGGCACTCCGATCTGAATATGCCCTTGTTCTAGCAAAGCCACATCATAACCTATGCAATCAAGCTTGAAAACGAAGGAATTTTATGTTGTCTTTCTCATTTGACCTCAGATCTCAGAGGGGGCTCCTTTTGCTGAGTTTCTGATTAAAATGCTCATGGGTCCTGTTCCTTTCCCTTTAGAAGAGATTAATTGCTCAGTTTCCTGACTCCAGGTCAAGAGAGACTGCTCTCCTCCCCAAGCTAGGGGAACCTTCTGGGACTCCATCAGCCGCCAATGAGGGGATAATGGTCCCTCACTGCCCAATCAGGAGAGGCTCATGGGTGGTGGGGACCTTTGCTTGAAACCCAACTTACTGGCCAGGAACCTCAAGTTCTGGGACCAGGCACCTTCCTCCCTCCCACTGTGCCAGGGGAGGGGAGACACAATCCCTCAATGGCTGTCTAGCTCCAGGCAGATCGGCTGCCATGGGGGCTGCTGAGCAGGTGGGAATTGGACTGTACCATTGAAATAGCTTGGGGTGTCGGTGGGCCGCCCCCGGGCCAGCACCATGTTCCAGCTGGAGCTTCGAGCCTCGGCCTGGCTGCTCCAGGAGTGTACGCCTGAGCTCAGGGTGTCCCGCGAACTTTGAGAGGCCTTTGATGGGTTCTGAAACAACAGGATTGGGTACGGATTCAGGGCCCTGGGCTCCAGGATCCATTTCTGGCTTGGGTCTCATTTGAGGCAAAGGGGCACTGCTCATGCCCTCAGCTGGAGGAGGGTAAGGGTTGCCTCCACGGGGGACCAAGGCCTGCCTCCCCATTATCTCTGGTGGCAAAACACATTCCCTAATCCCAGAAGGGTAGATTCCCATGGTTTCTCTCACTCTGAACCATGACCACCTCCCCCGACCTAGTGAGGACCCCTACCAGAAGGAAGGGGTGACCCCCATCACCCTCCCTTTACCCACTACTTGCAGAGTCCATTCACTAGCTGGACACAAAGCTATTTGCTCTGTGCCAGGACCGGGAGAACCACACCCCTGGAGCCATGGCTGCGGGGCCACAACTGACTCACCTTCTCGCTGTCATCCGACAGGGAGAGGCTGTCGATGCTGAGGCACGAGAGAATTTGCTCCTGCTCCTCCAGAGAAAATGGCTGGGACAGGCTGTTCAGGAATAATTCTGCAGGGAAAAGTGGAAGAAAATGGCTGTGAAAGACTGGGAGGAGGCTGGCTGTGTTTTCAGGGGTTCTTCCTGCACAGTCTGTAGAAGCTGAGCTGCTGGGGAAGGGGCTGGAAGAAAGCCCACACCGCAGGTAAGGAGAAGCGCCGGCCTCCCTCCGCGGCCAGTGCTCGGGGCCCCAGCTGCAGCCATGATTGCCCGTACCTATTTCCAGCTGCTGCAGTTCCTGCTCCGGGAAGGTTGCTTTCCGCTCTGGTGAGCTGGGGTTTCTGGCAGGGGCTGGCTCCAGGGAAGACAGAGGTAAGGGTTCCCACATTCCAGACTCCTCCTTGCTCAAAGTCAAGGGAGGAGACTTGTTTGGCTCTGGGGGCTCTGGTGGGAGAGGAGGCTGGAGCTTAGGGGCTCTGCCTGTTGTCTCCTCAACTGGCCGAGGCTCTGGGGCCCTTGGCGAAAGCTCCCTTGGCTGGGCATGGAGGGTCTGGTGATAATTGGCTTGATTTGGTGGTGGATGTCTTGGTTCTTTATATTCTCCCCTCCAAGGGCTCTTCAGACCTCCCACTAGAAAACAGAGAGGACAATGGTGAGGGGAAGCGTGCTGTGCACAGGCTATCCAGGCAGGAGAGGCCTCTCCTGAGTGCAGAAGGGCTAGAGGCGAACAGAGGGGAGGACCTTCCCCAGGCCACCATGGGAGGTGACTTCAGAGGGCAGCGTGGTGGTCTCCACAGGAGACTTCCTCAGTAAGATGGTCCCAATATAACAGGGATAGGACTGGATTTCTGTCTTTAATTCCGTTTTCATTCTAGGTGTCAGTAGCAAATTGAAAAACTACAGAATTAGTTCCAGAGGACTTTGTTAACAAGAAAGAGAAGATTGAAAAAAGCCCTGGGGCTACACCAACTCAAGAGCTCCTAGGCAAAGTGGCGTCCTGGACCCACCATCTCTCCTACCCTGTCCTCAGTCAGTACTTCCCCAGGCACTGTGGGTTCTGGTGCGGGGCGAGTTCAACCCTGGGACCACCCTCATCCTTATAACTACCAGCTGTCTTTGGTGAGGTGCAAGATCTCTCTGGTTTTATTTCATTTTCATTCCTATAATCACGGCCTTTTTGTGCCCATCCCTCAGGTGACGTTCTATTGTGTTTGATGTATCATTTTTAATTGGGTTGTGTTCTTGCAAAATGTGTGTTGTTTTATTTATCGATTTTTATTTTTGTATTTTTTGTTTTTTAAAGAGACGAGGTCTCACCATGTTGCCCAGGCTGGACTCCAACTCCTGGGCTCAAGCGATCCTTCCACCTCAGCCTCCTGAGTGGCTGGGACTACAGATGTGCGCCACCATACCTGGCTATTGATCAGTTTTTAGTTTACCAAACATTACCATCTGGGTTCCATTCTGTGTCGGGTTCTCTTTTCACTCGGCACCATGGCTTTAGGATCCGTCCATGCTGCTCTGTGAACACCGAGTTGCTTTGACTGCTTGGTGCTCCATGCGACATCCTTTTTTGTGTCTCTGTCCTCCCAATGAGGGACCCCACTGTACCCTACTCCCCTCCCACAAAGGAAGCTGTAGCGCGCATCCTCAGGCGTGTTCCCATATGGATCTGTTGGCATTCCTTTGTCAGTGCACCCAGGGGTAGCGGTCCTGGGTCTCAGTCTGCAGACATCTGCCTGAGTGCAGCCAGGCGCTCTCGAGTGGGCAGCCTTGTCCACATGCCCATCAGCAGTACCCGAGGGGTCCCAACAGCCCCACATCCCCCCAACTTTCTGCTTTTTTCCAGTCAAATGGCTCTCGAGTGTTACCTGGCTTCATTTATTTATTTTTTGAGTCAGGGTCTCTGCTGCCCAGGCTGGAGTGCAGTGGTACAATCGTGGCTCACTGCAGCCTCGACCTCCCAGGCTCAAACAATCCTCCCACCTCCTGAGTAGCTGGGACTACAGGCACATGCCACCATGTCTGGTTAATTTTTAAATTTTTTTTGCAGAGAAAGGGTCTTGCTATGTTGCTCAGGCTGATCTTGAACTCCTGGCCTCAAGTGATCCTCCTGCCCCAGCCTCCCAAAGTGCTGGGATTACAGGTGTGTACCACTGCTCCCGGCCTCTCTTTATTTTGTATTCTTGGATTCCTAGCGAGTTCCAGCCCCCTTTACACATCATAACCCTTGTGATATTAGTAAACATATATTTCATCTTTAACCCCATTTCTGGCACATAACTCCTAAAAGCCTTACTCTCCGAAGTGATCTCTTTCTATGTACTAATGGATTGACTGAAGGCTGGCAGCCCCTAGGTAGCTTCAGGATGGAGGCTGGTCATCCGAGAGACACAGGCAGGATTAGAGGGCTGGGACTTTCATCCTACCATCCCACATACTGGGAGGGAAGGGGGCTAAAGGTTAAGCTGTTCGCCAATGGCCAATGGTTTCATCAGTCATGACTTTGTATTGAAGCCTCCACAAAAACCCAAGAAGACAGGGTTCAGAGAGCTTCTGGTAGCTGGGCACGTGGAGGTTCCTGGAGGGTGCCAAGCCCTAGAAGCTCTGCGCTCCCTCCCACATGCCTTGCCCTATGCATCTCATTTGTATCCTTTGTAATATCCTTTCTAATAAACTGGTAAATGTAAGGTTTCTCTGAGTTCTGTGAGCCACTCCAGCAAATTAATCGATCCCAAGGAGGGGGTCGTGGGGTCCCTGATTTATAGCCAGTTGGTCAGAAGCACAGGTAAACACGTGGGCCTGAGACTGGCATGGGTAGGGGGCACAGTCTTGGGGATCAAGCCCTCCTGTTGCGGGCTCTGACGCTGCCTCCAGGTAGATAGTGTTAGAACAGAACTGAATTAGAGGACACCCAGCTCGTGTCTGCTGCAAACTGATTGCTGGCTTGGTGGGGTGGAAATCCCCACACATGTGGTCACAGGAGTCTTCGGGTTGATTGTAGTTGAGTGGGAGAATGGAAAAAGCACTTCGAGTTCGTGTGTGAATTTTCTCTTTCCCATCTCCTGAGTGCTGCCTCTGCGTCAAGGCGTGGTACTGCCACAATCTCCCAACAACCCCGAGGCTGTTGCACCCCCTACTCCAGAGGGGGAAACTAAGGCTCTGAGGGGTACCTTGCTCTGGACCTGTGGCCACCTGTCTCCTCTGTCCACCTCTGTCCTCTGCCCCCCGGGTCAGCCAGCGTGCAGCTCCTCTTACCTTGCTGTAGTGCCTGGTTCACCTTCCCTGCCAGCTCTGCTGCAGACGCGCGGTGGACGGGCTCTTTCTTCAGCCCCTCTTGGATGGCCTGGGCTGTGAGAGGGGCACAGGAGGCTGGGATCTCCCTCACAGGCGGAGGCTCGCTGGCAATCTGGGGCACAAAAGACAACAGGTGAGGCCTGCCTTCCCTCATTTCCTGATACCCGGCTGTTACTGCTCTCTGTGCAACTCCCGCCGGCCCCTGCTGCCACTGTGCTGGGGTCTATCACAAGGAATGGAGGGGTCTGGGCTACAGTGAGGGCACTTTTCCCAGGACAGGGACACATGGAGCCCGTAAAACAGGCCAGAGCCAGGCAGCAAGATGCCCATAGCTTCCAGGCCCGGCCCGTTAGGAGGCAGGTGGATGGGGCCCAGGGTATGGACAGAAGAGAGTTCTCACCTGCCATGAACTTGGTGAGCCTCCGCAGCTGGATCTCCCTTTGTACCCCCAGATTTGGGTGGCAAGTATTTGAATTAGGATCCCACATGGATGACCAGGCCTCCCCTTGCTCCAACTGCCACCGCAGAGCAGCCCCTCAAGCCTGCGGCCCGGGCCCCAGGGCCCTGCAGCTCCCCATGTTGGCCATGCCGGGTGCCGTCACCGACCTTGAGGCAGAGCGGCCCTCGGAAGAACTGAGTCCAGGGGTGGCAGCCGTTGAGCATGTGCAGCATCATGCAGCAGCTGCTCCAGACGTCCACCTTGGCGTCGCAGCGCCTGCCCAACACCACCTCCGGAGCCATGTGGGTCTCTGTGCCAGGGATGTAGTCCCCTGAGAAGGCGGATAAGACATAAAGTCACCTGGAATGCTGATGGGCAGGAGCCTAGGCAATGGTCACCCCAGTTAATCCTCGGGGTATCTTAAATTTGTCACTGTTAAAGTACGTTTTATTTTATTATCTTTTTCGTTCTTTGAGACAGAGTCTCGCTCTGTCAACCCAGGCTGGAGTACGGTGGTGCGATCTTGGCTCACTGCAACCTCCGCTTCCTGGGTTCAAGCGATTCTCCTGCCTCAGCCTCCTGAGTAGCTGGAATTACAGGCATGAGCCACCACGCCCAGCTAAGTTTTATATTTTTAGTAGAGATCGGGTTTCACCATGCTGGCTAGGCTGGTTTCAAACTCCTGATCTCAGGTGAGCCACCCACTTCGGCCTCCCAAAGTGCTGAGATTACAGGCATGAGCCACTGTATCCGGCCATGTTAAAGTACTTTAAATACAGAAATAACATCTCCAAGTCAAACTTGTAGGGAGGAGCTAGGCGGGGACTCTGCTGGGAACTTGTACCAAGCAACAGAGCACCCATGATATGGACTCTGCCCTTTGGACCAAACCCTTAAAGTGTTTTTTGAAAATAGGGCAGGGGCTGGACATTACAAATTAGGTTGTAGAAGGTTAATTACTGGTATGATGTTCCTGAAATACTAGTAAGTGAAATTTAAAAATCATAATGGAAAACTTATTTGCATAAAAGACTGAAAGAATAGATGGCAGATGTGAACAGTGGTTTTTTTTCCTGGTGATCTGTATTTGTAATTTTTGCTTAGCTCTACTTTCTTCAAAAGATATTAGAAAAAAGGGTCAGGCAGTGGCTCATGCCTGTAATCCCAGCACTTTGGGAGACTGAGGTGGGAGGACCGCTTAAATCCAGGAATTTGAGACCAGCCCGGGCAACATACTGAGACCCCATATATAGCTACAAAAAATAAAAAAAATGAGCCAGACATGGTGGTGCATGCCTGTGGTCCCAGCTACTCATACTCAGGAAGCTGAGGCGGCAGGATCACTCGAGCCAAGGAGCTTGAGGCTGCAGTGAGCTATGAGTGAGCTACTGCACTCCAGCCTGGGTGACAGAGCAAGACTCTGTCTCTAAAAAATAAAAGTTAAAAAAAATTAGAAAAGATACATTTTTTTTTTTTTGTAACAAGAAAAAGCCCACTAAAGTTATTTTAAAAGAGCTTAAAACAACACGGGTGGAGGTCAAGTGTCCACATTCAATTTACATCTTCAGAATTGTCAACACAGTCCTTCAACAACACACAATCATATACTTCCCAAAGATTCTTTTTCTGTTGGTCAGAATGAAATCATTTTATCCTTAATGCTATAAATGAAAAAAGCAGGGCACAAAATTGTGTTATAATGGCACTAACTAGACACAGGAAAAACAACAGCCTGGAAGGAGTTATCTAGAAGATTCATGATTCGGTCGGGCGCAGAGGCTCACGCCTGTAATCCCAGCACTTTGGGAGGCTGAGTGGGGCAGATCACCTGAGGTCTGGAGTTTGAGACTGGCCTGGCCAACATGGCAAAACCCCGTCTCTACTAAAAATACAAAAATTAGCTGGGCATGGTGGCAGGTGCCTATAATCCCAGCTACTCAGGAGGCTGAGGAAGGAGAATTGCTTGGACCCAGGAGGCGGAGGTTGCAGTGAGCCGAGATTGTGCCACTGCACTCCAGCCTGGGTGACAGAGTGAAACGCCGTCTTAACGAAAACAACAAAAAAATTTGTGATTCTCTCTCTGGGTAAGAGGAATGGTGAGAATTCTGTTCTCCACCTCTTTTATATGCTTAACTCTATACTTCACAGTGGGCATGGATTATTTCAATAATCAGAGGAGTTAAAGAAAGATATTTCACTGGCTTTAGAGACCAGGCCCTTTGGTCAGCCTGCCCACTGTGCTTCCAGCCAACTGTGCTCAGAGGCGCAGGAGAGCTGGGGTCACAGGCTGGCAGTGCACTCCCCTAAAAAGGCCAGACAAGAGGCGGGGGGAGCCATGGGGCCTCCAAGGCAGAAGGCCTGGGACCTAGCGAGAGTCAACAGCCTTTCCCTCTCTTCCCTGTGTACAGGAGCATCAGCGATGAGCACCTGACATCCATTATCGCATTTCTGCATAACAAAGAAACCCCGATAATCATCCAGACTGGGTGAGGGGCTTAAACACACAGGTGGACCTAAGTGTTCACATCTCAATTCCCATTCTGGAAAGCATGGAAGGCATTCGGCGAATGAATGCACTGAGGGGCACAGCAGTTGGTGGGGGGCCTTACCTGTGAGCAAGGACTTCCCCAGGCCATCAGGTTGAAGACACACAGCATGGCCAAAGTCGCAGAGGGCTGCATGGCTCCCATCGCTGGACAGGAGCACGTTGTCAGCTGCCAGGCCGCCCCGGGGAGGAAGAGGAACAGGTGAGTCATGCCGGGTCCCAGCCCACCCTGGCTCGGTTTGGCCTGCCCTCCAGTGATGTAATTTTCTGGCTGACCCTACGTGGCAGCTGCTGCTTCTGATTAGTTTCATCAGTTGTGGAGGAAGGGAGGAGGGTATCAGTTCAGGCTAGAGGCAGACAGGATCTCTGAGGGCAAGGGGACAGGAGCAGGGTTTACTCTGGGGGAACGCTGCCACTCTGCTCGCCTGCCCCAACCCCGTACCAGGGGTCACCACTGGATGGGAGCTTGACCTTCGGTTCTCTGTGGCCACCATCTACCAGAAACTATAGTGCTTGGCTAAGGGGTTGGAGAACATCATTCCCCTTCCTACAGGCAGAGTCCTGTCAGCCTGACTCAGGGCCTGCTACTGGAGATGACCAGGCTAGCCCAGAACTGAGAGGAGATCAGGCAGGATGGTGTGAGAGAAGAGCCTGCTGGGGAGCAGGGCCGTGGGGCCTGGGCCTTACCTTTGACGTCCCCATGCAGAATCCTTCGTGAGTGGAGGTATTCCAGCCCCTCCAGGGCCTGGCCCAGGTAGTAGAGGGCCCGGTCCTCTGGGAGACAGCCCTGCTCCTTGACCAGCTGGCCCAGGGAGCCACCTAGGAGAACAAAGGCCAGGCTATACCTGGGACTTGCTCGAGCTTCCATGCCAGCCAAGGGCAAGAGCACAGGGCAGGTGGTGGAAAGCAGGGTCATAGGGTCAAGAGGTTAAAGGTGGAAAGCAGGTCACTGGTCCAATGGATGGATCAGTGACCAAGGCCAACTTGGGCAAGACTCAGGAGGGAACCCTTGGCACTGAATTTGGAGAAAGAGTGGGACCTGGCTCCTTACCTTCCAGCAGCTCCATGAAGATGTTGACCCAAGGCCCTTCCCTCACAGCTCCATACAAAGGGACAATTCTGGGTGAAGTCAATCCTGCACATGCCATCAGTTCCTCCGCCCGAAATACTTCCAGCCGCACCTGCAAGGGCCCACAGGCAGCTGTGAGACAGGAAGAGGGGACCAGAGCTGGGTCCCTGACATCCTGTCAGGACCCCGGTGCTCCACACACAGAGGCTGCTGTTTCCAGTGGCTATGCAGGGGCCCGGGGGGCCTGCTGGACCCTCAGAGCCTAAATATCCCGTGCCCTTGGTATCAGGAGCAACTTCCTGAACTTAATTAAAGTTCCGGAGTGCTGCCCATGTGCAAAAACAGCCGCATAAAAACTACATTCTGGGCCGGGTGCGGTGGCTCAGGCCTGTAATCCCAGCACTTTGGGAGGCCAAGGCGGGCGGAACATGAGGTCAGGAGATCAACACCATCCTGGCTAACACGGTGAAACCCCGTCTCTACTAAAAAATACAAAAAAAAATGAGCCAGGCGAGGTGGCGGGCGCCTGTAGTCCCAGCTATTGGGAGGCTGAGGCAGGAGAATGGTGTGAACCCGGGAGGCGGAGCTTGCAGTGAGCTGAGATCACGCCACTGCACTGCAGCCTGGGCGACAGAGCGAGACTCCATCTCAAAAAAAACAAAAACAAAAACAAAAAAACTACATTCCGGCCGGGCGCGGTGGCTCATGCCTGTAATCTCAGCACTTTGGGAGGCTGAGGCGGGTGGATCAAGGAGATCAAGGTCAGGAGATCAAGACCATCCTGGCCAAAACCCTGTCTCTACTAAAAATATAAAAATTAGCTGGGCGTGGTGGCATGAGGCTGTAATCCCAGCTACTCGGGAGGCTGAGGCAGGAGAATCGCTTGAACTCGGGAGTCAGAGGTTGCAATGAGCCGAGATCGCGCCACTGCACTCCAGTCTGGCGACAGAGTGAGACTCCATCTCAAAAAAAAAAACAAAAACCACCCCCGCCCCCCAAAAAAAACCGAAACCCTACATTCCTCATCCAGGCTGCTGGCACGCTGTCCGCCCTCAAATCTGCCAAACGCAGAACATTTTTTCCTCCAGCTAAATGGGCGATTTCTAGGATGTGCGTCCTTTTGCTAATCACCATCCATGTCTACTGTCAGAAGCCAGGTTTCTGACTTATCTGATGGTCAGGAACCAAGATTTGGACTCCATCGGGTGCATTTTGTTTTTCTTTTCTTTTTTTTTTGAGACAGAGTCTCGCTGTGTTGCCCAGGCTGGCATACAGTGACGTGATCTTGGTTCACTGCAACCTCCGCCTCCCGGGTTCAAGCGATTCTCCTGCCTCAGCCTCCCGAGTAGCTGGGACTACAGGTGTGTGCCACCATGCCCAGATACTTTTTGTATTTTTAGTAGAGACAGGGTTTCACCATGCTGGCCAGGCTGGTCTCAAACTCCTGACCTTGTGATTCACCCGCGTCGGCCTCCCAAAGTGTTAGGATTACAGGCGTGAGCCACCGCGCCCGGCCTCAACACTTTTCTTAACTCTTGTAATTATTTGTTTGTTTCCCAGAGGACTAAAACATCCACATAGACAGAGCAGTGTGTATTCTGTTTGCAGCTGTCTCCCAGCATCTGGGAACATAAGGAGGCTTCTGCGGAGGGGTTTGGCCAACTGCCGACTGGCAGGTCTGGGATCATCCACTCCTTTCTAAAGGGACCAGCAACTTGGTGGGAGGAAATAGGCCTTGGATATAAACATTGTGGGCTTAGATCCTGGCTCAGCCTTTTAAAACAAGGCAGCAGACTTCCCATCCACGTGTTTCCATATGCAAACAGCAGGGACAGTGGTATCTGCTCCTGGGTAGAGCAAGGATTTGGAAGGATGGTAACCGACACCAGGCCTGGCAACCAGTGGGCACTCAGGAAGTGCTAGCTCCCCAATTCCTCCAGCTCACATCAGAGAAGCTGATACTTAGACCTTTTCTTTTGAGACAGAGTAGCGCTGTGTCGCCCAGGCTGGAGTGCAGCGGTGCAACCTCAGCTAATTACAACCTCCGCCTCCCGGGTTCAAGCAATTCTCCTGCCTCAGCCTCCCGAGTTGCTGGGAGTACAGGCACCTACCACTATGCCCAGCTAATTTTTCATATTTTTAGTAGAGACAGGGTTTCACCATGTTGGTCAGGCTGGTCTTAAACTCCTGACTTCAGGTGATCCACCCGCCTCGGCCTCCCAAAGGGCTGGGATTACAGGCGTGAGCCACTGTGCCCGGTCTCTTAGACCTTTTTTTTTTTTTTTTTGAGATGGAGTCTCGCTCTGTCACCAGGCTGGAGTGCAGTGGAGTGATATCTCAGCTCACTGCAACCTCCGCCTCCTGGGTTCAAGGGATTCTCATGCCTCAGCCTCCCGAGTAGCTGGGACTACAGGCACGTGTCACCATACCCAGCTAATTTTTGTATTTTTAGTAGAGACAGGGTTTCACCATGTGGTCTTGAACTCCTGGCCTCATGATCCACCCGCCTCGGCCTCCAAAAGTGCTGAGATTACAGGCATGAGCCACTGCGCCCGGCCTCTTAGACTTCTTAATAGACTTGCCCTCCTTCCCAGCTGCTGATGGTTCTCAAGTAAGCCTTGAGTGGCATCGCCAGGGGGCGCTGGCAGTAACAGAACCAGCTTGGAAGCGATCTCCACAGACTTGCTGACTTGGCAAACAGCTCTGACACTGGGGTTTTTGGACTTTTGCCTATCAGTGGAAAATATCACCCTTCTGGTTCCCTAATATCTGGTTTGATTAATCACCTCCCATGAACTTTGACTCTGCCAGTGTTTCCAGCTCTAAAAAGCCTCTGAACCTGAGTTGGAACTAATTCAACAACAGGACTTGTTAGCAAATGTCTTCAGCCTAACCAACCCCAAACTGAGCTTGAGGCACCCCGGGGCACTGCAGAGAACTCAGAAGGGTGCCAAATGGATATCTGACATTTGAGGGAAACAGCCACCACAACGTCTGCTGGACACCGCATGAACGACTTGCTCGAGACAGTTCAGCTTCAAAGTTCAATCACACGACATTCCCTTTGATAATGTATCTCTATGAAGCTAGGTTTTTGGAGGTCGCTGTGATTAAAAGTACTTCAAGGAGAAAATGTGGGAAATGAAGGTGGTGGTGTCCTATCTGATTTCAAGGGTTGAGATGTGCAACAAGGCATACATCCCATTAATAATCTGGCTGTTTGGAAATGGAAGGACCCTTTTTCTTTCAACTTATGTGTCGCTTTTCAAATGGCTACTAAGTTGTTACGATAAAGACTTATTATTTGACCTCATTGCTTCATACACAGATCTGTTGGGTATTTGTTTTGGCCTGGGTTGCCCTGAAACAATGACTGAGATATTAACAGGGCTGTGATCCAAAAGAGTTGGGGAAACTTGGCTTTAACTTTGCAGAAATCTGTAAGTCCTCCTAGAGTGTCCCGTCCATGCTAAAAATATTTCCAGTCACCCAGACCAAAGAGGGTGGGAGGAGATGCTTCAAAACACAAGGTGCTTTAGAAGTCTGTGCCAGCGGAGAAAGCAGCCCAGCCTTCCAGGCCAAGCTGGCTGCCCGTGTGGCCACCCCTCCTCTCTGAACTTCCGTGTTCCTCATCCGTAAAATGAGGGGGCTGGACTGTGATGAGGATATTCATGAGAATTACGATCTAATGCCCACTTATCATTTCCCAAGCACTGGTAAAGCCCTTTCTAAGCATTATTCAGATCTTACAGTAGCCTGGAAGCTGGTGGGATCATTATCCCCATTTTATAGATGAAGAAGCTGAAGCCTGGGCAAATAATCTGCCCAAGGTCACTGTGTATAAGAGATCACAGCCGGGCTTTTGCTCGGGTAAGCCTGACTCCAGAGCTGCCAGCTACTCTGCCTCCTGAAGGCCTTTCCATGCTGAACTTTTTTTTTTTTTTTTGAGACAAGGTCTCCTCCCTCGGTTGGCCAGGCTGGAGTGCAGTGGCACAATCACAGCTCACTGCAGCCTCGACCTTCTCGGGCTCAAGTGATCCTCCCATCTCAGCCTCCCAAGCAGCTGACACTATAGGCGCCATGCCCAGCTAATTTTTGTATTTTTTGTAGAGATGGCGTTTTGCCATATTGCCCAGGCTAGTCTTGAACTCCTAGGCTCAAGTGATTCTCCCACCTTGGCCTCGAACATGCTGAGATTACAGGTGTGAGCCACTGTGCCTGGCATCCATGCTAATGTTTTAAAATACATTCAGGAGCGAGCATCCCCAGGGGGAAGCACTGTCAGCAGTGAGCCCACTGCCCAATCCAGAAGCCACTTCCCTCCACTCAACTGCCTGCACGCTGGACGCTGGGAATCACTTTTTCCTCCTTGAACTTTCCTCTTGTTTTCCTTGGTAATCTTTTTTTTTTTTTTTTTAAGATGGAGTTTCGCTCTTGTTGCCCAGGTTGGAGTGCAATGGCGCGATCTCGGCTCACCGCAACCCTCTGCCTCCTGGTTTCACAGTGGATTCTCCTGCCTCAGCCCTCCCTGGAGGAGGCTCGGGATATACAGGCACCTGCCCACCCGACGCGCTGCTTCATTTTTGATAATTTTCTAGGAGAGTGGGTTCTCCATGTTTGTCGGCTGGTCCCAAACTCCTGGACCTCAGGTGATCCCACCTCGGCCTTGGCCTCTCCAATGTGCTGGGATTACAGCGTGAGCCACCATACCCGGGCTTCTTTGGATTCTTTTTTTTTTTTTTTTGAGATGGAGTCTCACTCTGTCGCCCAGGCTGGAGTGCAGTAGTGCAATCTCAGCTCACTGCTAAGCCCTCTGCCTTCCCAGGTTTCAAAGCCGATTCTCTCCTACCATACACCCTCCCGACTAGTCTGGGACGTAGACCCTGCCACCGCCTTACGCTTACAACATGACGCTCGGCTACTTTTTTAGTATTTTTAGTCGAGACAGGGTTTCACTGTGTTGGCCAGGATGGTCTCGATCTCCTGACCTCATGATCTGCCCGCCTCGGTCTCCCAAAGTACTGGGATTACAGACGTGAGCCACCGTGCCCAGGCTCTTCTTTGGTATTATTATCTGTTTTATAACATCAATAAAAAAAGGCATAAGAGCAATTCTATAAATTCTTTTGCAGATTCCAGGAACGTAAACTGTGTGAAAGGGACTACCACAGTACTGTGCACAGATGTCCAATGAATATTAGAGGGTCCCGCCTTATTTTCTCAGCACCATCAAGATATTCTCCTCTGATCCTTGTGCTATTTTCCTTCTAAACACATGTCCAGGACTGAAGGCTGCTCACCTTTACCCTAATATAAATGTCTATCCCCCATTACAACTCGGGTTCCTTCAGGTCAGGCCTGTGGATTTCACATCTGTCCCCAGCCCCTGCACAGTGTCTGGCACAGAGCAGGTGCTTGGTGACGGCTGGGTTGACTTGGCCAGGGTCACATTATCCCAGATCAGCGGCAGAGCCAAAGCGAAGCTCCCAGAACTTCACACTTGAGCCAGATGTCCTAAAAGGAGTGATTCTTAACCCTTTTTGGGCTACAGACCCCTTTGAGGATCTGGTAAATGATATGAATTATTCTTCAAAAATGTGTGATTGCCCATACATGCAACACACAAACACTTTTTTTTTGGAGACAGAGTCTTGCTCTGTCGCCCACACTGGAGTACAGTGGCATGATCTTGGATCACTGCAACCTCTGCCTCCCAGGTTCAAGCAATTCTCCTGCCTCAGCCTCCCGAGTAGTTAGGATTACAGGCATGTACCACCACATGCAGCTAATTTTTTATATTTTTGGTAGAGATGGGGTTTCACCATGTTGGCCAGGCTGGTCTCGAACTCCTGACCTCAAGTGATCTGCCCACCTTGGCCTTCCAAAGTGCTGGGATGACAGGCGTGAGCTACTGCACCTGACCGACAAACATTCTTTTGAATGAAGTTCCTAGAGTTCATGGATCCTATCAATCCACCACTGACTAGGATAAGAACTTCTACAAGGCCGTTAAAAAGCGTAAGATGGTTGTATATGTGCCAATAAGGAAATCTGTTGTGATATATTATTGCATGACAAAAACATGGTACAGAATAATCACTAGAGTAGGATCCCATTTTTTGTGGGGTTGGGGGACAGGGTCTCACTCTGTTGTCCAGGCTGGAGTGCAGTGGCATGATCTTGGCTCACTGCAGCCTCTACTTCCTGGGCTCAAGTGATCCTCTCATCTCAGTTGCCCAAGTAGGTGGGACCACAGGTGTATGCCACCATGCCTGGCTATTTTTTTTTGTAGAGACAGGGTCTCTACAAAGAAATGCTAGAATTGTAGGCATGAGCCCCACACTGGCTGATCTATTTTTTTTTTTTCTTTTTTGAGGTGGAGTCTCACCCTGTCCGCCTAGGCCTGGAGTACCAGTGGCACAATCTCGGCTCACTGCGCAGCTCCGCGTCCTGGGTTCACGCCATCTCCTGCCTCAGCCTCCGAGATAGCTGGGACTACAGGCACCCGCCACCACGGAGCCGTAAATTTTGTATTTGTAGTAAGACGGGGTTTTCACTATGTTGGCCAGGATGGTCTCGATCTCCTGACCTCTGTGATCCGCCCCTTTGGCCTCCCAAAGGCTGCTGGCGGATTACAGGCCATGACCCATAGCCCTCGGCCTAACTTACTTTTTTTTGAGACGGAGTCTCACTCTGTCACCAGGCTGGAGTGTTGTGGTATGATCTGGCTCACTGGCAACCATCCGCCTTCCTGGTTCAAGCAATCTCTGCCTCAGCCTCTCGAATAGCTGGGATACAGGTGCCTGCCACCATGCCCAGCTAGTATTTGTATTTTTTAGTAAGAGGAGGGGTTTCACCATCGTGGCCAGAGCTGTCATTTGAACTCCTGGACCTCGTGATCCCACCGTGCCTCAGTCCTCCCAAAGTGCTGGGATTACAGGCATGAGCCACCGTGCTTGGCCCTGATCTTACTTTTAATTGCAAACAAATATAGGCTCATTATAAAAGAATTCAAACGATACCAAAAAAAGCAAAAGTCCCCATTTTCCCAGTCCTATTCTCAGAGGTAAATGCCCTTTGACAGAAATCTTTTCAGACTTTTAAAATTTCTTTTTTATTTCTATTTTTAACTTTTTGGTAGACATGTGATCTTGTTATGTTGCCCAGGCTGGTCTCCAACTCCTGGCCTCAAGCAGTCCTCCCACCTCAGCCTCCCAAAGTACTGGGATTACAAGCATGAGCCACTGTACCCAGCATGGACTTTTTATGTGTGTATAAACAAGTAGTTGTTTCTTCTATTAAAATGGGATCCTGGTGGGGCAAAGTGGCTCACACCTATAATCCCAGCACTTTGAGAGGCTGCCCGGGAGTTTGAGTCCAGCCTGGGCAACACAGTGAGATCCTGTTTCTACAAAAAATAAAAAATTAGCTGGGTGTGGTGGTGCGTGCCTGAAGTCCCAGCTACTTGGGAAGCTCAGGCAGCAGGGTTGTTTGGGTCTGCAGGGCTGAGGCTGCAGTGAGCTGTGATCATGCCACTGCAAACCAGCCTGGACAACAGAGCAAGATCCTGTCTCAAAAAAAAAAAAAGATCAAACAAAAACCTTAAAAAAAAAAACTGCATCAAACTCTGGACCCATGGCCAATCAGCATCCAGATCAGGATGTTCTAGAAGGAGGACGAAGGGAGTGCTGGCACCACCACGTGACACCTCACATACTGGATTCTCCCCAAGAAGCATTGTGGGGGCACAGACTTATTCTGACCCGGTGTGCGGCCTGACCTCTGATGCCGGGCCCACCTCCCGGTCCCCATCCCCTCATCAGAGAACTGTTTCTCCTGCTCTTCCAGCTGAAAACCCTAAAGGACACCACTGCCTTGACGGAAAGGAGGGGCTGTCTGCCCAACCAATGGCAGCTGTGTGGCCTGCCAAAGAGTCATCCCCACTGTATTCTCCGGGGTTGGAAGGAAGTGGTTCTGTGAGTGGCCAGCTCTGGTGGGCTTGAGCTGCAGCTCTGGTGCTGAGAAGTCCACATCTTGTGCTTGGAGCTTTTCCAACTGCCTTGCAGTGGATGGGAGGGGCGAAACATGGAGTATTTATCCTCTTCCACTATATTAGGGTTGTTTACCTTGTTGCCTGGGAAGACTCTGAGGCCCTCAGCAGGGTAACAGCTGAGAAGCCCAGTGACTAAGCTCCCAGCGCTGGGTGCGCGTTTCTTCACACTCTCACACTCTCCTCCCACCACCTCTCAGGAGGGACAGCTGAGCCTTCTCCGGTAGCCTGGAGAGGGGAACTGCAGCTGAGCAGGTCAGGCATGTGGCCTTGGCCTCCAAGTGGAAGACGATGATCCACATTGGCAAGAACTCGGCAAGAACTCAGCACGCACTCAGCACGTGCTGCCAGTCGGGGGTGGTGAGAGCAGAGTTTTCGTATTTGACACAGTGTGTCTCAAGTTTGGGGTGGTACCTGCAGATAGTCCCCTCACCCGTCTCACCATCCAGCCCAAGGACACACCAGGGAAGCTGGGTTCATTTACATCCCAGTTGTCTCCTCTCCCCTTAAGGCCACAGGCACCCCGGACGGTGGTGGCGGTGTCTGCTCTGAGTGGGGCCGGTGTGTGCCGGGCTTTTGTGCTCTGGCTACAGTGAGAATTTCCTGTGTCAGGTTGGTGCTCCAAAAGTTTTGGACTTTGGAGCACTTCAGATTTTGGGTTTTCAGATTGCGGATGCTCTACCTGTATTTGTTGCTTTCCTTTTGGAGATTGGAGCGTCTCTGACATAAGCCACTTGAAACAAGGTCTCTCTCTGAGCTTACTTCACCCTGCCCAAAGGGCCAAGGGGATGGTCCACAGAAACGCGCCTTAGGTCCTGGTGCTGGCTTTGAGGCTGAGAGCTTTGACTGGCGACAAGGTGGCTTCCAATCAAGGTGATCCAAGAGTCAGGGGTGGGGGAAAGGTTGGTGACGGGGAGAAGGACTGACACCCGTGAGGCCTGTGGGTCTGCAGCCGCCACTGATGCTCCCTCTGGGCCCGGACAGTGTAATCTGACAGGAGGAGGCCTCAGCTCCAGGCCCAGCATGCCACACCGTCCTCTCTGCTCTCCACTTCTAACACCAGTGAGATGAAGGGGTGGGAGAGGTGATTCCTGTCTTCTGTCTCTACTCAAAACTCTAGGACAACAAGTCTATCTTCTTTCCTCTTCTTCCTGAAGAGTGGCTGAAAGCCGAACTCTCAGGTCAGACAGACCTGGTCTGAATCAGGGCTCTGCCACCAGGCCATTGACTTCCTGTCTTGCCAAGCTTGATTTCCCCACCAAGTCTGTCTTGTAGGACTGCGGCACACCTGGCCAACAGGGCAGAGCTCCGACTCCCACTGAGACTGGCCTCCTGCTGGAAGCGCCTGACAGGTGGAGACTACTGCTTTCCCCATCATCTGGCCCAGGTCGGGGGCGGCCCCGTATGTGGTTCAGGGGTTTTACCTCAGTGTGAATTTCATGACGCTCCAACCATCTTCCATGTTGGGACTTGCCCCTCAGGGCCCTGGCTATATTGAGACACCGAGGCCGCGTGCGTCCTCTCACACTGCCTCTCACATACACACATGCCAAGGGCAGCGGCCAGGCCAGGACACGTGACAGGCTGCTCCCTTCCAGTTCCAGCCGACCTCAGGTGGCCAGTGACAGCCAAGTTCTGTTCACAAGTCAGACCCACAGTCACCCTGCGACTGTCCTTGACAGAAAGCAGAGGGAATACACCAGGCCCCCTTCCTGGCTTCCCTCTTCACTCAGCCCCTGAGCCCTGGCATACCTTTTTGACAGCGCACTGGAAGCCAGTCTGCTTGTCCTCCATCCTGTGCACCTCTCCGAAGGAGCCTCTGCCCAGGCGGGGCTGGTGTGTGGCCCAGTGGACTTCTTCTCGGTACTCATAATCCACTGGCTTGAGTTTCTGGGGTTGGCAGGAGAGAGAGGCCAGTTTTAGTGGCCAGGGCAGCAGAGGGCTACAGGGCTACAATGAGGAAGGCCCTCCAGCTAGTGACCTTGCCAGGGCTGCTGAGCTGAGCCCTCACAACCAGGCAGCCCTGGGGCGAAGACGGGGATCTGGGCTGGGCAGCCCCAGAGAGGGGGTAGAGGAATGAGGTGAAGGCGAGGGAGGGGTTCATGGGCTGCAGCCACTGATCCTTGTGATGAAAAACATCCCAGACTTGTGATGGTGAAACAGAAACAGAACTGCCAATCACCTTGACAATGAAAAAACAAAACTCAGGAGCTAGGTGGAGGGAAGGGAGGAACAGTGAAGAGGGGCCGGGGTCAAGGATGATGTTAAAAGAGGATGGAGGGGCCGGGCATGGTGGCTCACACCTGTAATCCCAGCACTTTGGGAGGCCAAGGTGGGTGGATCACTCAAGGTCAGGAGTTTGAGACCAGCCTGGCCAACATGGTGAAACCCTGTCTCTACCAAAAAATACAAAATTAGCCCAGCATGGTGGTGCATACCTGTAGTCCCAGCTACTCGGGAGGCTGAAGTGGGAGAATCACTTGAACCCGGAAGGGGGAGGATGCAGTAAGCTGATATAGTGCCACTACACTCCAGCCTGGGCGACAGAGTAAGACTCTGTCTCAAAACAAAACAAAACAAAAAATTAAAAAATTAAAAAGTGGATGGAATAAGACGGTGCAGTGGCTCACACCTATAATCCCAGCACTTTTGGAGGCCAATGTGTGAGGACTGCTTTAGCCCAGGAGTTTGAGACCAGCCTGGGCAACACAGCAAGACCTCATCTCTACTAAAAAAAGAAAATAGCTGGGCGTGGTGGTACACGCTTGTAGTCCCAGCTACTCGGGGGGCTGAGGCAGGGGGATTGCTTGAACCCAGAAGATGGAGGCTGTAGTGAGCTATGATTGTACCACTGTACTCTAGCCTGGGTGACAGAGTGAGACTCTGTCTCAAAAAACAATTTATTAAAGAAGAAAAAAAAAGTGGATGGATAGAATAAAACCCAGAAATCAAAGTGTAATAAAATCATTTAAAGTTATACACTTATTTGGGAAGTGAACAAGAGGAAAAAGGGAAGGAGGTGGGTGGTGAAAACAGGTCCCATCCTCATCTTCCGTCTCTGGGGGCCATGATAACATCTCCAGTGGCTCCCGGCTGATTCCCCTTGTCCTCAGCATGTGTATTATTCATGCAGTGCCCGCATTCAGCAAGCAGGAGGTGACCAACCAGAAGAACTCAGAACAGAAGACGCTAAAAAGGCTGTGAAAAGTGAGGCTGGCAGCGTAACAGATGACACTTTTCATCCACAGTGAGCACTATCCTACTGTTTGATTTGTCACCACAGATAAGAGTGACTCTGATAAAGAGAGAAAAGCATCCCCCAGGTTGCTGGTGGAGGGACGTATACAGGTGCTGGGGGATTAGTTACCTCAGTGAGCAGGACGCCCTCATTGTCCTCAGTTTTGGGGCTGGGCTCCCGGGGTCTGGAGCCCCCTGCTGCCCAGGTCTTGGCCAGGCTGGTCAGGCTGTGGGCCTGGCCTGAGCTCACGCTGCCTTGCAGAGCATGCACCAGGTATTCCTCCACAGAAAACTTCTCATGGGCACCACGAGACGGGCAGCTGGGCTCCAGGTGTGGGCCAGGCAGGGGCTTTGGACTGTCTACACAGGCCAGTTTGCTCAGGTGTGGGTGAGGCAAGGGTTGCTGGCTGTCTACACAGGCCAGTTTGCCCAGGAAGGACTCTAGAGGGTGAGGTTTCCAGGGCTGGAGAGGGTGGAATGGGAAGGGATGAGGCAGTCTGCTATAGGGGAAGGGGTGCGTGGGCAGGGGCAGGGGGCCTCCGTCCTGGGGGTGGTGCAGTTTCCACACGTGGTTCAGACATTGCAAGGGGCTGATCAGTTTGTGGAGTTCCGATCGAGGCAGAGCTGGTCGCAGGCCCTCGCCAAGCTGCTTAAAACAGAGTTGACCAAGGCCTGGTTCCTTCAGAGGCTTGGTGAACTGCGGGGTGTTTCTCACATATGGGGCGCCGAGTGGAGACTCATCCTCCTGTGGGGAGAAACACAGCTGTCAGCACAGAGGGCCAGGGCCAAGGCACAGGCTCCAATTCCAAGGCCCCATGAACCTGCGGTCTGGGCAGTGGGTGGAGGGTCTCACCTGCACTGGGATGGTGCAGCTCTCCTGCTCAGGGGTCCTGGGGAGGGGTTTGGCCAAGGCCACTCCTGCATGAGCCAGGGACTTTGAGCTCTTCTTCTTCCGTTTCTTCCGGGCTTTGCTACGACGCTTTCCCTTCCAACACACACGGGCCATTTTGCCCTCGGTAGCATGGGCCACATTGTTGGGGATCTGATCAAGACTCTCAGACTGGCTGTCAAAAAAGGGACAGATTTGCATATTGAGCACAAGGAGGCAGGAAGAGGCAATGGCCCAGACACTTGTATCTGGACTCCTGCAGATCCAAGGTCAAATCCCAGCTTGCCATTACTTGTGTGAATGCGGCCAAGTTTCTAAATCCCAAGGAACCTCAGTTTTCTCACTTATAAAATGGGTTTGGTATTTTCTGCCATGCAGGGTGGAAATGAGGTTTCAATAATTTAGTTCATTTAAAAAGCCCAGCTCAGTGTCTGGCCCCAAGGCAAGTTGCCAAGAAGCTGTGCTTGTTACTATGGTGATGGGGTACAGACTCAGCACTTCTTGGGGAGAGTTGGGGGAGGAGACACGGTTTGCTCACTGCTCTCCAAGGTCAGCTGCCCCTGGAGAGTTTCCAGGAGGGGGCCAGGCTCATGGCAGGCCTCTCAGCTCTGATTGAGCAGAGCTTGTTTCTGTTGCCTCCGGATGGAGGAACAGGTAAGGCTGGTCACCTCCACTCTCACGGTTCCTGGGGGTCCCTGGCTGCTGCTGAAGGTGACACCCTGGGCTGCTGCCTGGTACTGGGGAGCCTGCCCTTCTCTGCTGGCCTCGGGGCTCATCACTGCCATGGCTCTAACTGGACTGGGGTCCCTGCCAAGTATGAAAGGACCTGGCAACAGATGGGTTGCTGCAACAGCTGTGGAGGAGATCATGGCCTCAGCCACCCTCCCTTGGCCTCATCTTCTGTCCCCACAGAGGAGGCAGACTCATGGTAGTCCTGGGGACCACTGGAAGCCTACAGGCTTCTCTTGGACAGCTGAAAGAAGTATGTCTATCAAAGGCTCCTACTCTGGGCCAAAAGGCACCCAGGACAGCAGAAGGAATCCCACCAGATTCTAAGCCTTTCTTGGTTCCAAGGCAGCTGCCCTCCCCACAATCTTATCACTAGCAGGTTCCAAACTCCAGTGATACAAAAACCTGCCTGGTGATAGGGGAGGGAGCTTGAACTCTTTTTTTTTTTTTTCCCAGACAGAATCTCACTCTGTCACCAGGCTGGAGTGCAGTGGTGTGATCTCGGCTCACTGCAACCTCCAACTCCCGGATTCAAGCGATTCTCCTCCCTCAGCCTCCCAAGTAGCTCAGATTACAGGCATGCACTATCATGCCCAGCTAATTTTTGTATTTTTAGTAGAGATGGAGTTTCACCATGTTGGTCAGGATGGTCTCGATCTCCTGACCTCGTGATCCACCCGCCTCAGCCTCCCAAAGTGCTGGGATTACAGGCGAGACCCATCACGCCCGGCGCTTGTACTCGTTTCAAAAAATCATCTGTGGGGGAATGCAGAACCTGGGAACAGACTGAGCCCCACCCTGGCTTCCTTTCTACCGGGCCACCAAGTCTATCTGTCCCCTCCTTTTCTACCGCCCGCATCCCTACTTGGTGCATCTCCCAGGAGAAAAGGCACCAGCAGGTTTCTCACATAGAGGACAGTAGAAGGCCCCCTGACCAACCCGAACTGCGCTCACAGTCACGCAAGAGTGGGAAGCAGCTTCTGTTCTCAGTACCCTCCCTGTTGATGGGAAATGAGGAGGTGCATTAAGGACTCTGAGGAGAATAAAAATAAAACGTCAAGTTGATGTGGCCCAGAGGCAGTCAGCCACAAGCTGTGAAAAGCCTTTGAAAAGCTTATTTGGCTGAGAGAGCGGCTCAGCCAGGAAAGCCTGGGCGAGTTCCAGGAGCTGAACCACAGGTGCTGAGGGAGGGAGCCCGGGGTCAGCAGGAGCGGCCCAGGCAAGCGCTGGGGACGAGGACGCTGGGTCCAGTCCCCGCCTTCCCACTCAGGCTTGTCTCCCCTGCTTACCTGTACTGTTTGGACCCAGCGATGAAAATGCGTTCTGAAAAGGTGGGGCTGAACTCCTGGCTATTCTCACCTAAAGCAAAAGGAGTTAGATTAGCAGAGAGGAGAAAAAATAGGAATTCAGCACTTAGGGGAGAGACATTTTACAGAGATCCCCTCTGGCGCCTCTCCTTCCCCTCCGTTCCAGACAACCCCTGTGTGGCAGTCACCTCCCCACCAATGCCTCCTTCCCGCACTGTCTCCCCAGCTTCTCAGCTTATGGTCAAGAGCAGACCATGGCCTCAGCCACCTGCTCTGAAATAGCCATGCCTATAATATGGGGATCATAGGGTGCCTGCCTCACGTCCTGTGAGGCTGAAGTGAGATGATCTACAGAAAACGCTCAACACAGTGCCTGGCTCATAGGAAAAACAGCTCAGTAAATACCAGCTATTAGGTATTTATATACGTATGTACATATAAGTGTGGATATATGTGTGTGTATTTTTTTTTTAAATTATGTCACTCACTGCATTTTAGTTTTTATTCTCTCATGTCTCCTCAAAAACCAACCAGGAGGAAGTGGGAGACAAGGGCAGGATGTGTGCGTGTGGAGAAACGCCAGCACGGCTGTCTAGCTCTCCAGGTTCCACCCCAAGAAGCCTACTGGGTTGAGGGAAGGTGTTGGAGAGAGAGGACTCCCGGCCCTACCCAGGCCTCGTGGGAGTTTCTGTCTCCAAGGGAAGCCACCATTACTAGTCATCATAAGGTATCATAAGTAGAAGCAGAAAGGACCAGACCAGGCCTCACCCTGCCATGGCCTGCCGCCCCAGGACTGGCCCAGCAGGCTCAAGAGCACGGTGCTCATTCCTGGGGGTGGGGCCATCTCTAGGTGGAAGATGGTGAAGGCCCTACAGGCCCCAGTGGGGCTTTCCAGGAGACCTGGCCTTTCCTGTCTGGAGCCTCTCCAGATACTCGGGCTGCTCAAGGTCACAGCAGAAGGCTGATGGCCTGCTTGATGATTCTGCAGAGAGTCCCGAGCGCTGTCTGTTACCTCTCTTCCCCTGCTCCAGTCACGATGGACACAGCCTCCCCTTGCCACATTCACCATCTGTGCACTTTTACAACCCCACGTTCCATGATTCTCGGCATAGACCTCTGGTTGTGTCTTGTGAGAATCTTATCTAGCAGTGGCACGGACCTGTCTCCTCCATAGGGAACCCCTGGGCCCAGTTACCCACCTGCAGGCCCACCCACCTGCCCCGTGCCCACAAAAACCCCAGGCCCCTACACTCAGCCTGGGCGATGATAGAGATGGCAGCTGGCCCTGCCTCGGAGCCTTCCTTGGCTGTGCCCTTGGTAATCACGTCGTTCAGGATCTCCCACTTTCCGCAGAACACAGGGCTCTTCTCCACGGCCTCAAGCGTGTAGACGGAGCTCTGTTTCTTCCCCAGTGGCGGCGTCTTCTCCTTGGCTTTGGGGAGTTCCTTCTGCTGCCCCACTGCTGAGCCAGGGGCGCCTGGGCAGGCCATTTCCATCACTGCCATCTCCCAGGCTTGTGCTCACCCTGAGAGAGACCAAACACAGAGCAGGTCACTTAGAATCCCAGACCTGGGAGAACACAGGTCAGCCTTGGGTGGGGGAGAAAGGCAGGGGCAAAGGCTCTCTGCCTCTTTATGTATGCCTCTGCCACCCATACTCACCCTCCAAACATTCTCAGTGGTAAGACTCAACCTCTCAACATCTACACATGTTCCACATGGCACAGGCCCCCGGTCCTCCCAGCACCACAGCATAAACAGCTTCTTCCACTGCGTCCAGCAAGGATGCCAGCCAACTCCCTCTAGGACAGCTGTGGCACAAATGTCTGGGTCGGCTCTTTCTTGCCTTTATGGTGGCTGAATCTTTTTCTGTTGTTTGTTTTATGGCAAACTTTGCTTCCCCAGGACAGGGTGGTGAATCCCAAACTCCAAAACCATGGCCTCACCGACCCCACATAAGCCTTTGGAGAGGGCCTGTTGACATACACCATCCACAGTGACTTTTCTCCAAGGGAGAGAAGCAAGGTTCTATTCTGTTCCCTAGTAGGAGGTAGATGTGTGTGTGTGTGTGTGTGTGTCCTACAAAGTCTAAAACTCAGCATGCAAATGGTGCTCAGCACGTGGTTCCTTGCCCAATGCGTCTGTTTGTGGCTCTCCAGAAGGAACTAACATGCTTCCTCTTCTAACGTGAAGACTCATTGGCTGAAAAATTCTAGGTATCATTTTTCGTTCAGGCCACATCAGGAGTAGAATTTATACTAAAGGCCCTAACACCAACCTATACCTCTAGAAATAAAGAATAAAGCACAAGAATTCACCTCTCTCTGGGTTCTGTCTTGCCCAGCCCTAGGAAGCTGCAAAGAAGAGCAAACCAGAGTTGCCAACAATCTGTGCAAACAGCCTGCAGACTGGAATTGGCAAAAAAGAGAAGAGCACTGATTTGAGACTGTTACCATTTGGAAACCTTTTTAAAGACTGGGAGTTTTTAAAGGGCAGGGCCCCTCTCAGGTATGACTTGCCTTAGAAACAGCCTGAGAAGGTCCCAAATGCAGAGAGATTTTTAATAACTGCTCTCTGATGGTAGGTTTGTCTTAAAGCTGCTACTAACAGAAATTATCTTCCTTGCGGTAACTCTCTGAACCCTGGATCACGACTCTGCTTCTGGGGCAGACAGGCACACCACCTGAAGCTGAACTCTAAGGCCTCTGGCCTTTTGCCCTGTGAGGCCTGAGGACTGAATGAGATGGTGGGAAACTGAGGTACTAAGTTGAAGCCTTTCTCCTTCTGAATCTGCCTCACTGGTCTTCCCACCTTGATGGCTCTGAAAGGCTCTGCCAGCTTGGCTGGGGTGTGTGGTGGGGTTTGTTGTTCGCCATTGATTAGTCCCTTGCATCTCTGTCTTCAAGGGTCTCCTAGCTCTGAACTCGGAGTAGTTCCAGCTTCCTGCAAGGATGCCTGGATTTGGTTCCAAACGCCAGATGCTGAGGAGGCCGAATGGGTGGCCTCACTGTTACCTGAGGATCTTGAGAAGTCTGAGGGGGCTGGGCACGGTGGCCCATGCCTAAAATCCCAGCACTTTGGGAGAATGAGGCAGGAGGATTACTGGAGCCCAGGAGTTCAAGATCAGCCTGGGCAACATGGTGGAACCCCGTCTCTACAAAAAATACAAAAAATCAGCTGGGGTGGTGGCATGTGCCGTAGTCCCAGCAACTCTAGAGGCTGCAGTGGGAGGAATGCTTGAACCCAGGAGGCTGAGGCTGCAGTGAGTTGAGATTGCACCATTGCATTCTCCAGCCTGAGTGACAGAACAAGACCCTGTCTCTAAAAGAAAAAAAAAAAAAAAAAGTCTAAAGGGTGTTCTGAATCCAATTAGGCAAAAGCCCTTCAAGGCCGGCTATACCTCTTGTAACAGTACTTTCATCCCACCTCACATCTCCCCACCCCACTCGACCTCCAGAAAAGAAACTGACCTAAGCCCAGAGCCGATCCCACCTTTCTCAGCCTCTTTACCAGGGGAAACGAGATCTTAAGAATAGACCAAAAAGTCTCCAAACCTAACAGCAGTAGGGAGTGCTCACAGGGAGCTCGATGTGACCTTGACCTCCTCCTTTCTATCTGAAGAAGCTGAGGCCTAATTCAGTGGAGACTTGTCCAAGGTCACCCAACCCACGTGTGACAGGGCATGGCCAGGACCCAGACCCTAGGATCTTTAGGCTATGATGCCCACTCCCCAAGCTCCTGGGTTACAGGCGAATGCAGAAGGGGACACGAAGGTCCTCCCTGGTCAAGAAGCCCTGGGGCTTCTTGCTGGAGTGAAGAGGCTCCTGAGGGCAGAGGTGAGGCCCTGCACACAGTGCCTCCCCAGTGTATAGCACAGGGGCCACAGACCAGGCAACTGACGCTGGCTGAATGAGGGACTCAAAGGACAAAGATTGCTTTTCCATAACCTTTGGAGACAGGATGATCCTGAATGCTGAGGAGGAAGAGAGAGTCCTGCCTGATGAATGAGAAAAATGAGGCCAGGTGGTATAGCTGCTGCTCTGAGGGTGCGTGGCTATTAGAGATCTGGCTGTGTGGGGGCTCTGATAGCCTGTCCCTGCCTGGCATGGCCCAATGGAGGCTTCTGGATAGGTCATCCTGAGCTAGAACTCCTCCAGAGAGGGTGCAGGGCATCCCGAGTCCCAGAGCTGTCCTTTCATATTGGTGTTGGGGAGGCAGCTGTCCAGGGCCCCAGTCGCCCCTCTGTGGGCACACCAGGCTCCCCTCTTCCCAGAGAAGTGGAAGCTGAGGCTGAAGCAGCCATGCTCAGAGCCTCCTCTGCAGTTCCCCGATGACTCATCCAACAGCCTGGCAGGCAGACAGTAACAAGGAGGCTGTTGAGAAGCTGACCCAGCAGATGGCAGCTGAACTTGTGAAGGGCATGGGGAAAACAGGCTGACCCTCACCTCCCAGGGGCACAAATCACGGCCTGGGAGCTGTAAAGCTCCTCCTGTGGCTGGCTTTTCTGTGCCACATCACCATGACTCAGACCCTCACTGACAGCCTCCAAGTTCAAGAGGCTATTCTTGGGACACTCTGGCCTGACAGTGGCTCTCCCCAAACACCTCCCACACAGACACACATGCACACATACACATGCACACACAGACACATACACATACATATGCACTTGCTCCCTCCCTCCTTCCCTAATTCTATCTGGGCTCTCGTCTACAAAAATCATGGTTCTGTATTAAGCCCAGGACTACTGGCTAGGGGGCCTTCCCAGCCCTGGACTTTGGCCTCTGGCTGTCACCCCAGCTCATGGCCCTGCTGCTATGCCCCTTCTCCCTCCTGCAGTGTGTGGGGAGGATGAAGTGGGAGCTAGTTATGTCTCTGCCTTTGAAGGCAAGTCCAACTCCTGATCCATTCCTCAGCCTAGACACTCTCCCCAGCTTCACTCAGGCCCCAAATGTATTGGGTCCTCTGCTCTCTGCATAAGAGTTAAGGACAAGAGTAGTGGCAACAGTCAAACCCACATGGCTCACCCATAAGCCCATGAAATCAGAAGAGGAAAGGAAAGGAGCAGAATTCACTCCATATTCTTTGAGGCCTGATGCACAGACACTGTTGGTTCTTTCTTCTGTGATGCTTCAGTGACCTCCTGGCGAAGCCTGGGGGATAGGAATGATCTGGATGGTACCAGATCAACCCCTGGGCATAGCTGTATGAGGAGTTCTTAATCTGGGTTCAAGGATGGATTCAGGGAGGAAAATATAATTTGCATTTTTCCAGGGAAGACTTGGTCCACAGCTTTCAACAGATTCTCCAAGGATCTGCCATTCCCCAGAAGGTTGCTCTAGTCTCCCTAGAAGATCAGGGCCAGGCTAAATGCCTGATTCTGGCTCTATTCTTCCACTCCAAGGAACAGCTCTCCAATGCAGCAGTTTCCAATCTGACCACAGATTAGAATAACCAGATAAGTTATTTAAATGCATTCCTCTTAGGCCTGCTGAACCAGAGTCACTGGGCATTAGGCCCAGAATCTGTACTTTGGACAAGTTCTCTGGATGATTCTGATGCCAAAGGACCAGGGACTGCCACCTGACCCCTGTGCTGTACTCAAGGCGACACTGTCCAAAGTGGTAGCCACTAGCACCCTGTGGCTATTTACATTTAATTGAAATGAGGTAAAATTTGAAAATCAGTTCCTCTGTTACACTAGCTACCACACTCAACAGTGCAGACAGAGAACACGTCCATCATTGCAGAAAGTTCTATTGGACAGTGCTGTTCTGAAGTGATAAGAGCGGTGTTTTCTCTGACAGCAAAATTTCTGTTCCTAGGATTCTAGGGCAGGAATGGGGTTTACAGTAAACAAATTTTTGATTCACTGGAAGGTACAAAAGCAATGTTTTAAATGTTCATCTTCAAAGATGATAATCTTTTAAAGAATATATCATATTTCAGTTCCCTGTTTTAGCAAGTACAGCATAGTAAAAATGCCAGACTGGGAACCAGAAGTTATGGGTTCTAGCCTTAACGATTTTTTTTTTTTTTTTAAGAAGAGCAGTGGGACCATTTTTGTCAAATGAAATCATACCTCAACTCCCAATAACTAAAAGAACCAGATGCATGGAACTGGCATGTAACCCACATTTGCAACTGCTGCCCTGGCTGAAGGAGCTCCACATGCTCAGTGTCCCTTCATCCACAGAGGACCTCTACAAAATCCTAGTTCTCCAAGAAAAGAGTTTGGAAACCAGCGGCCTAGGATATCTTTTGAGGTTCCTTCTAGTTCTGAGAATGTAGCCCATCTGTCAGGATTCTCTGAGGGCCAGACAACTCCAATTCAGAACACTAACTGTCGCTATTTACAAATCACCTACCGTCTCATTTTCAGACATGAAGATATGGCTTAGGGAAGTTTAGTAGCACACCAAAAATTACACAGTTGCAGGTTGCAGAGGTGGGGTTGAACCCAGACTGCTGCCTCCTAAGCCGACATCTAAACCTTGAGCTAGCCACTTAACTTCTCTGAGTTTCT